GGGGTACACGCCCGCGCGGCAGCGCCGTCAGTGTGGGGTACACGCCCACACAGCAGACCAAATGCAGGTGTGTGAAGCAGCAAGGAAGGTCATTTTCATGGTTAAAAAAGAGTGGATTCAATCTCTGGGCTTGAAAGTGGCAGGTTATTGTTCTAAACTCTTGTGCCGATCCTGCTAGTACAGCTTTTTAATTACTTCTCACTGAAACAGTCTTACCTTCAAAGAGCAGTGTGAGGGTATCAGCGAAGGTAACAGCTGCTCTACGATCACTCATCTCCGTGCTCAATGCCAACTGAAGGTTTTCTTCAGCTTTGTCTGCAATCTTCAGTGACAGAAAACAGATCAGGCTGACATAAGGAGTTAATTAACGCACATTTACATCTAAAGCACCAATCCGTTCTCTCAGTCCGAGTCCTATCTGCAATTCCCCCATCCTCCCTCTCGAGTAACTGATTCAATTACGGACGCAATAAATAAACCCTTTTACTTTAACATCTCATGAGGAAGGAAGAAAGATAACCTAATATTTAAATAGCAACTTATATAGCACATCTGAAGCTTTAGTTATAGACATTGATGTAAATACCCAACTAATAAAGAAGATAAATTCTGATCCCATAATTAGAATTGAAGCAGATCTTATACATTACTGGTCTCCTTACCTGTTTACACAGGTACTCTGAGAACTTGTTCAACCCTTCCTCGTGTAATCCCAGCAATGGAAAAATCTTGAAGAAGCGCTCCACTTGTGGTAAGTCACCTTCTTTGATGGCCACATGAAACTTTTCAGCTACAATCACTCTTAACCGCTGCTCTGCCTCTTGCAAAAGGTTTAGGTTTGCATCGATGATATTGGCTGTCAGGAGATTTAGCCACAATTAGTTGAGGAAAGGGTCCATGATACCACATTTACTCAATCATTCCCATTTAAAGTATAAAGCTCCCCAGCTGTGGTGCTCAAGTTTCATTAAAAGGACTTGCTACTGACATCAATGATTCTCCCATGTTCCTCTGTATGCAGCTCCAAGTGAAGACAGTGGTTCTACTGTTTAATTCTCATCTTGTCTTTCAAGAGTTACCATCCTCAAAATAAACAAGCAAGAAATTATCAGAATGGAACTAAACTTCTGGGGATTTCAGAACTCATTTGCGTGGATATCTTGTAGTTTAGATACTGCAATAGTTTGCCGTTCTGATTACAAGGGTGCAGAGTTGTTCCCTGGTCAGTACCAAAACACAGTGGGCTGGCATGGTGGCTCAGTGGTTAGCACTGCTGCCTCAAAGCGCCAGGCACCCAGTTCAATTCCACCCTTGGGCAACTGTCTATGTGGAGTTTGTACATTCTCGCAGCGTCTGCGTGGGTTTTCATCTGGTACTCCAATTTCCTCCCATAATCAAAAGATGTGCAGGTTAGGCGGATTGGCCATGGTAAATATGGGTTTACAGGGATAGGGTGGGAGAGCTAGGTCTGGCTGGAATGCTCTTCAGGTCTCAGTGCAGATTCAATGGGTCGAATTGCCTCTTTCTGTACTGTTGGGATTCTATGATTCCCAGCCAAGATAATATCAGCAGTTTTGCCACTTGGTTTATTTAGTGCAATGGTCCCAGTATATTGCAGGAAATTATGTCTTTCTGTTCTGCACATGGACATTATTTGTGTCAACGTGTCTTAATCCATTCCCGCCAAAGTAGCCGAATGAAAATTCCATGCTTACTACTTTCTCCAGCGACAGCCTGCATGTCAGGTGAAACTTAAAATTGTACTATAAATGCAAACTGGTACAGCAGAAACATGAAATCCACTCATGTGACATTTTAAATCATAGGGACAACACAGGGTCATTACCAATTTCAAAGCATTTTCTATTACTGCTTTAACTGAGCTCAGCTCAGTGTCTGACTACAGTAGCACTGTTAGCTAGTGTAATAGTTAATCCACACATACAGCATAATCGCAGGCTGAGTACTATACAAGACCCTTCTGTATATTTTGTTTTTCACATTGTAAATAGATAAAAATAATGTCATTATCTCAGAGGTACAGTTATGTACTCAGAACAAAATAAAATGTGTGCACAGAAGCTCAGCTCTCTTCATAAATATTCTCTGCTGATTAGAAACTGTTTCTGCCTTTTGGAATTTATCAAGTATAAGAAGTTCTTGTTACTTCTACAAGACTTTGGGGACATGCAGCATAGAAGCAGCTATGTGCTATGTCTCAGCAGCAAAGTCCATTTCCATAAGCAAGCCCTTGCTCTCTTCAGGCTGGAGAGTGGTTTTATCTTCACTTACCCTGGTATCTACTTAACTGTGGGCCCAGCATTAGGTTCTGGATTGATGCTGCACAGAACAATTACATGTTTAAAAAAAAAGGGAAGTTGATTTAAATCCAATCAGTTTGAGCAAGATTTTAACCAAAGATGAAAGAGCCAACCTATTTTAGCTTTATAGCTGAAGGTTTAAGTGAGTTACTATTTCTGGGTCCTCACCTTCCTTGCCCTGTCTGCTCAGTTCAATTACAGATTTGTCGAGTGACAGGTACCGATGAATGTGTGCTGCTGCCTGCTCATAGTCCTCATTGCGCAGAGCTGTCTGTACTCCATCAGTGCAGAATTTCAGATCCAAAATGTCATCTGCTCGTTGAATAGCCTGGTAAATCCGGTTCTGCACAGCACAGATAAGACTGCAATTATCACACTGAGCCTGTTGGCCCTCTTTTACTCTCACTGCCTTTCTCCTCAGATACTTACCACTTCTGAACCTCATAGGAGCCGCTGGACACAAGAGGAAGCTGGAGAAGCTCACTTTAATGACGCCAGGTTGTGGTGACAAAACATTTTTCACTGTAATTTCCAAATACATGTGACAATAAAATCATTCATTCATTCCCAGACTAACAACACAATGATTGAATTTGCAATCTGGAACATTGCAAAAATATTTGCTTTTCAATGTGATTCAGAACTTGCTTTTCATCTGGTATTATTTTACTGAAACTGTTTTTGAACTAATAAAGCAGCTGTTGTGAAATTTCACTAGATTGACGGCTTGACGTGGTAATGAGTAACAGATTAAGACGACACCAAGTGGATTCCTAAGGATAGGACCTCAGTTGGGCTGTATGTGTGGGAAAAGGTCCATATTGACAATATCTCAGGGGCGACTGACAGCATTCCAAGAGCATAGTCCCAGGAACACTAAGTATCCTCAAGATCTCCCACCCCTCATCCCCTTCTCTGTCACTGTACTTGTTGAAAGCCTGTTACATCTAACTATCGTCAGTTCTGTGAAAGGTCATCAACCTAAAATGTTCACTTTGTTTCTCCCTCCAAAAGTGCTGCCAGGCCTGCTAATTATTTCCAGCAATTCTCCAGATTTTGGAACAGAATTTATCTCAGGTTAATTAACACATAGAAGTAAAATATAGCAAGATGTTAAGAATGCGGTAGTTACACAGAATTTACAGTATAAAAGCAGGCCATTTGCCAATGGTCGATGCCAACGTTTCTGATCCACACAGGTTTTCTGCCACCCTACTTCACCTAACTCAATCTGCATATCATATATTCATTTGTACTTCATGCGCTTATCCAGCTTCCTCTTAAGTGAACAGCACAAATAAACTTAATCACTCCACTTTGCAGCATGCTCAGTTACATTCTAGTTAAGTAACAATAAATGATAAATATTCAAAAGCAATTCAAAAGAAGTCATCCACATTAATTAAATCATAATTTTGGAGGGTATATTTGTTGCAGTTTTACGCACAACATTCAACTGTAGATACTTAAGATTTAACTCTGGACAATGAGAATTTCCCAGGCCACCTGTGTGAACATTCCTCAGACTTCAACAAATACTCTTCAGAGGTCACACTTGCCAAACATCCCTAAATAAAGACTCAAGTTAAGGAAAATTATCTGCTGATATTTTGACCATACCTTTAGTACACTGATAAAAGTTGCTGTGACCTATCCGATTTCAAATTAATCAACTTAACCTGGTTCCAAAAGGAATTTGGAAACATAAATTCCAGACTACATTTTCGAAATTAAGGTTATGAAATGCAACACAGTATTATAAATGTGTTCATCTCAAAAATAAATTCAAACACATCATGTACCTGCTCACTATTCATTTATTCTAGCTTGGATTTTTTAAAGTTCATTCATTCACATGGGCGTCACTAGCTGTGCCAGGATTTGTTGACCATCCCTACCACAAATGCATATCATATCCTTCACCGTGAATATTCTGTGAATCTCTACACCTAAGCTTACAGACAAATAATGAGCAATTGGCCGAGATCCCAGGAATGCCCAGTTTCCATGGAGACATATCCTTCAGGAGGGCAGAAAATTGGGATTAAATAGGCTCAGACATAAACCTCTGTCTGATGATACTCAAGAAAACAATATGTCTATTGTAACAACTAGTCCATATGACAGGTTTAACATGTCACCAACTGTTTCGGAGACTGGGATTATCAGACAACAAAAATAAAACTCAAAAACTGACACTGTCCCTTTATTACTCATGGATGTAATAGCTGTAATTCACACAACAGTTGCACTTGGGTTGTAAATCAATTGCCGTACCTTGGCCAAATCAAGCTGCCGAACCTTGCTGCTGACATTTTCAGCCAGGTTGCATGTAAAAGTGATCATCCCTGCAAGCTGCTTGGCATCCCCTTCGATCAACTGCAAGTTTGGACTGGGGAAGAATGCAAGAAAGGACTGTGAAAAAAAATAATGCAAGCTCCATGAAGTGTATATAACATGGTAGAGAGTGGAACACTCCATTTCACACAAAAAGAGGCACAGCTGGGCAGACTGTATCAGTGCAGAGAAAGGATCAGCTAACCTTTCAGCTGTGTTTCCTTCAAATGTGGTTAAACTTCATTTACACAATGGACTGAGGAACCCTCACAGAACACCATTCTGTTTAATGAAATAGTTAAACATTTCAACAGATATACTGGATTAATATGATTAATGTGCTCGTTTTGAAATCAAAATAAATAGACATCAGCATCAAGAAGCGGCAAATGTTGCATTTCAGAAACTCATTGTTAATATCAAGCTGTCTGTTCTCCAGGGCAGCTATAAGAAATTCCAACAGTTTCTCACAAGCATAAACCAATATTGTTTGCTGTGGTGACAGCGCCTCAAATGAGCAAACACAAACTGCTGAAGCTTCCCGAGAGCCACCGTACTGTACTCTACAAGTCCCTTCATTTGCAACATTGTCACTCGATTCAGAAAAGCATATTGGAGTGAAAACAAAACCTCCTAATGCTGCTATTTCAACTGTGAAGAGCAGTCAGCAGGACATTTAGAACATACTCACTTAGATTGTGTCTGTACAACCACTAACTGGTGAGAACAATTTCAAAAGATGAATTTTGAATTCCATACAATCATACTACACAGCAGGAGTTCACTTGGCCCATTGTGTCTGTGCTCTCATTCCCTTTTCCCCCGTAGCAGTGAAAATTTATCAATTTTAAGTACATTCCGCTTTTCTGTGTTATCCATTTCAAGGAAATTTCAAAGCCCCTTTTGAAAGTTACTATTGAACCTACTCTCATCACCCTTTCAGGCAGTTTCCTCTGATCTTAACAGCCCAATCCATTAAAAAAAAAGTGTTTCCCTTCCCCCACTTCGCTCGTGTCTTTTTTAAGGTAATTAAAACTGTGCCTTCTGGTTAATAGCTCTCCTGCCAGTGGAAAGAGTTTGTCCCAATCTACTCTATCAAAACCTCTCACCTATGAGCACCCTCATTACAAATATACGAAATGTGAGAATAAGTAGGCCATTCGGCCCCTTGAAACTATTCCAACATTCAACACGATCATCTGTTTGTGTTTCAAATTCCATGTTCCCAGCTACTCCCAATAATATTGAATTCCCTTCCCAATAAGTATCTACCTATCTCCACATTAAAAATATTCAATGACCTGCCTCCATTGACTTCTGAGACAGAGTTCCAAAGTCACACAAACTACTGAAAGGAAAATCCTCCCCTCATCTCTGTCCTAAAAAGGCAATCCTAAGTTTTAAAAGTGCCCTCAGTTCTGCATTCACCCACCAGAGGAAACATAATTCTCACATCCACATTGTCAACACAATTCAGGATCTAAGACACTATAATCAAGTCATCCTTCACAATTCTAAACTCCAGCGAAAACAAGTCCAATCTGTCAAATCTATCCTCATAAGAAACCCACTCATTCCAGGTACCAATATAGTAAACCTCTGACAAACTACCTCCAATATATTTACACATTTACTTAAATAAGGAAACCAAATGGAAAGACAGGAGTGAAAGGGTAATATCACTGACTTTGCGCACAGTCCCACCATGGTGAATTAAAGAAAATCTGGTATTAAAAGCTACATTAATAGTAACCTTGAAACCATAGTCAATTGCAGTTAAAAACCCATCTGGTTCATTTGGGGGGAAGGAAGTCTACCATTTGTACCTAGTCTGGTCTGGTCTACATTATCCACAGAAATGAGGCTAATGCTCGACTGCCTTCTGAAGTGGACCTAGCAAGCCATTCAGTTCAATGGGCAATTAGGGATGGGCAAGATATGGTGGCCCAGCCAACAGCACCCAAGTCCCACAAATGAATAACTTAAAATTGCACACAGTATTTGAGATATGATCTCATCAATGCTCTATATAACTGAAACATAATTTTTATGTTCAATATTCCTGTAATATATATAGTATTCCATTAGCTGTCTTACCGACTTGCAGTTCCTTTATACTAACCTTTTGTGACTCATGCACTACAACACTCAGATCCTGCTATTTTGCTGTGAGGAAAGCAATTCCAGTTTCTGTAGTCTCTCCATAGTCCCTCACCCCTAGAAAATTACTTCTGTACTCTGTTCCTATACTGCGGAATCCAGAATTGAACAGATTACTCCAACAGAGGTCTAATTGTAATTTCTGATGGTTTATAAGACCACAAGTTCTAAGAACAGAAGTCAGACATTAGGTTCATCATGTCAACTCCATTATTCAATGAGAGCATGGCAAATCTGATAATCCTCAGCTCGACTTTCTGGTCTTAATCCTGTAACTCTTGCTTCCCTACCATTTATCTCAACCTTGAATATATGTAACAACACAACCTCAGCAGCCCTCTGCACGAAAGAATTCCACAGGTTCACTAGCATCTAAGAGAAGAAATTCTTCCTCCTCTCATCAGGCTTTCTGATAGAATATTTCAAAATTATGAACATGCTGGTAGAGTAGAAACTATTCCCACCCGTAAAAGGAGCAAGAACAAGAGACATAGCTTTAAAATGATTTAACAAAGAAGCAAGGATTGTCAGCGAATGGTCAGGACATGGAATGCACTGCCCGGAAGTGTGGCAGAGGTGGGTTCAATTGACGCATTGAAAAAGGCATTGGATGATTATTTGGATAAAATTAATGTGCAAGGTTATGGGGGAAAAGCTGAAGATTGGCGAAAGGTAATAACACTCATTTGGACAGTCTGTGCAGGCTCAATGGGCTGAGGCCTTCTTCTGCACCGTAACACTTCTGTGATTTTGTGATCTCTATGTTAAAGGGGCCACCCTTACTCCGAGATGATATTCTCTGGTCCTAGACTCTCCCACAAGGGAAAACAATCTTTCTGCATCATCCAATTGAATAAGTGGCTGGAGAACTGGTATAGGAGGAACGGCATCACATTTCTGAGGAACTGGGCGCAGGTAGGTCCCTGGACAGGTTACACCTTAACAGGGAGAAATCCTTACAGGGAGATTTACTAGTGCTGTTGAGGTGGGTTTAAACTAGCTTATCAGGGGACAGGAATCTGAGAAGTAACCCAAATTGGGAGTAAGTAATATTGGTAACAGTAAGTCAAAAAGAAGCTGGAAAGACTAGAAGACAGAATAAACAAACTAAGCACTGTGCATGTTACAAAAGTGGAATGACATCAGTAAGACAAAGTTAAACGTATTCTACCTAAAATGTACACAACTTTTGCTATAAGGAAGATTAGCTGAAGACACAAATAGAGACACAGGAGCATGACCCTAATTGCCATTATAGAAACTCGGTTGCACGGTAACCAGGACTGGGAACTGAATATTCAAGGATAGTTGACATTTTGGAAGGACAGACAAGAAGGTGGAGGTGGAGTTGCATTAATAATAAAGAATGAGATCAGTACATTAGTAAGGGAGAATCTCTGAACAGAAGAACAAAATGTGCAATCTGTTTGTGTAGAGCTAAGAAACAGCATGGGACAGCAGACATTAGTTGGGAGTTATTTCTAGGCCACCGAATAGTAGTCAGAGGGTAGGGCACAGTATTACTCCAGAGATGAGAGAATCATGTAACTGGGCAACAGTTATCATGTGTGACATTAATCTGCATACAGACTGGATAAATGATTCAGCACTAAAGCTGTGGAGGGCAGGTTTCTGGAGGGTGTTAGGGATGGTTTTCTAGACCAGTATTTTGAAGAGCTAAATAGAGACATGCTATTTTATATATAGTATTTTTAATGAAACGGGATTAATTAACAAGCATGTTATAAAAGAACCTTGACAAATGAGTGACCACAATATGATAGAATTTTACACAATTTTGAAAGTAAGGGGGTTCAATCTGAAGCAAGGGTGTTAAATTTGAATAAGGGAAATTGTGAAGGCAGGAGACAAATTGGCTGAGGTAGATTAGAAAATACATTGAAAGGAATGACAGTACATAGACAATGGAGAGTCTTTAAAAAAACTGTAACATGACCTACAGACAGCATTCCTTCATTGGTTCAAAGTGCAAAAACTTAATAAAAGGGTCAGTCACCATGGCTAGCTAAGGAAGTCTAGGGTTAAACATTAAAAGAAAAGGCCCATGGTTCCCAGAAATAGCGGTAATTCTGAGGATTGGGAGGTTTATAGAATACAACAAAAGAGGTCCAAGAAACTGATAACGGACAATGAGAGTATGAATTCAATCTGGTAAGACAAAATAAAAGGGCTGTAAAAGCTTGTATAGGTATGTTAAAAGGAAACATTTGCCTAAAATGAATGTAAGTCTTACAAAGTCAAGATAATTTATAATGGGGAATAGAGAAATAGTAGAAAAACAAAATGGTTACTTTGTGTCTGTTTTCACTGAGGAAGATACCTAGAACTCTCCCAGATCTAAAGATGTAAGTGGCTTTGGAGAATGAGGAGTTAAAGGGCATTAGCATTAGTAAGAAGATCATACTTGAGAAATTCCTTTCTACCCCAGTTACTGGTGCCAGTGCCCCATGAACTGAAATCCACTCATTTCACGCCAATCTTTGAGCCATGTCATAAATACCTCGTGGAAGAAAATAATTATACAGTGGAATAACTCCAGAAAGGCCAGTATCCCGTCACCATTTTACCCATTATTTACATGGGGGAAGTCCTTGACACTGATCCAGCTTTTTCAGAGCCAACTCTCAGAGTGAACAGGATCTCTGATACTCCTGTTTATATCTGCCACCCAGGGGTCCCTGGTTGGACAGGATTAACAGCCCCAATCAGGGAACTCATAATCTGAGATCCACCAAGCTGACCTCCTTACAAAAACTACACGCAGTATTACACAAAACCCTCAATACAGAAACAGGCCATGCAGCCCAAATATTTATTTGCCAAATGAGCAAAAGCCATGTTCATCATTACAACTTTTTAACTTAAATGTAGCGAACTAGTATTTTAAACAGACCCAATGACAAATCTGCAAAGCAATCTGTTTACAAAAAAAAAATTGTCTAAAGCAATGTTCTTGAACACAGTGAAGTTAGGAAGTTGATTTTTTTTAAAAATGTTATCTCAGCCTTTAATAGTAAAAGTTTCAGTTCTTTAATCACAACCTTTTCACATTAGTACCTACCCCATACGGTGCAGAGCCGCCATCTTACTGTCTAGGCTGCTCTGCTGTCCAATAAGAGCCTCAAGCTCTGCTTCAACCTCTTTCTGCAGAAAGAAGGAAATAAACAGCGTAAACACAACTCACAGACAAGCACCACATAAACACACCACACAGATTTCCACCAAATACTGATCTTCACATCCCTTACATACAGAGCACAGGAATAGACACGCACAATACTCCTGACTGGGCAAAATGCCAGTTGTACTCTATCATCATAGGTCTACTTTTTCCCCAAATGCACTAAGTTTTGCTTGAGTCAGTTAGACAGAGAGCAGCTGCTTTGTCTAAACAGTCACTCTGGACAATATGACGGAGCTGTCAAATGTCAACATAAGATCAATCATATTGTCACTTAGCATTGACAGTGAACAATTGCTTAATTTGCTACTTGAGCACAGAGGAGGAACTGTACTGAGGATTTGATGGGACTAATGGTGCCCTTGCAGCTCAATACCTTTACTCAGTGAGCCATACAAATCAAGCTGGTCCTACATTTGCGTTTTATGATTTCAGTCACAATGATAATGGGATTTCTACAATTCAACTCCTGCTCCTGGAACTTTTTTTCGCATTTGGTCTTATAATGTAAGCATCGCTGACATCACCAGCACCCTGAATTTGACCAGATAGTGGTGGTGAGCCACCTACAACTGAAAGACTGCTACACCATTGCAGATTGCAGTTAAGGAGCTCCCACATTGCTATGGGTCTGGAGTCCAGTGTAGGCCAGGCAGGTAAAGGCAGCAGACTTTCTTCTCTAAAGGGCATTTGTGAATCAAATGGGTCTTTACAACTAGCTTCATGAGCATTATTAATGAGCGTAACATTTTATTTTAGATTAATTAAAACCCTACTACTGCCATGGTGGGATTTGAAGATGTTGGGGGGGTAGGGGGGAGAGAGCGCGAGAGAGAGCGCGAGAGCGAGAGCGAGCGCGATATAGATCTGAATTATTACCCCAGCAACTTTGAAATTATGCTGCAGACCCTTTCTTGTTCCTGATCAACATTCATTAGCCCCTACTGAAAAGTTCAGGTGTCAGAACATTAAATGCATTCAGGATTAAGCTCACATATGATGCCCTCCATGGTTTTAAAAAAAAAGCCTGCTGCTATTCACTAGCACACTACAGGTCTGAAATTACTGCCTCTCAGTGAGCAGTCAGACTCAGTTCGGACTGTACTCCTGACAGAGAGAGCACCATCAAAAGAAAGGCCTGCACTTGCACAGTACCTGTCACAAGATGTTCCAAAACACCTAACAGGCAACAAAATATGCTCGAAACACAGCCACTTTGTTCAACATAAGGAGGACAATTTGCACACAGCAAATTAGCTACATGGTAACAATAAGATATAAAAATAAAAAACACTGGAAATGCTCAGCAACTCAGGCAGTATTTGTGGAGAGAGGGAGACAGAGTTTTGAGTTAAATCTAACTTTATTCTCAGCATAATGATCAGATAGTATGTTTCTGTGATTTGGTTCAGTAATAAATATTAGTCTAGGTAATAGGAAGAACTTGCTACTCTTCCTTAATGCAGTACCATAGGATCTTATATGTCCACCCGAATGGTTAACTGAGGCTCAGTTCAACATCTCAACTGAAAGATAGTACAGCACTCCCTCAATACTGTCCTAGAGTGTCAGTGTTGATTTTAATGCTCCAGTCTGTGGAATGAACCCACAACTTTGATTCAGAAGCAGGAATACTTACAACTGAGCCAGGGCTGACACAGGAGGGAAAAAAAAGGTCTAAAAGGAAATTGGAGGGGAGAAAACTATTTTCATAAAAGGTGTTCACTTTCATATATACATATTATACATCAACATATGTGTTGCCCCATTTGACAATCCAGCAGCAAGGAAGAAGAAACTTACTAAAAGGAGGACAAGGCAACCAGGGCTGACACTGAAAGTCAGGAATAGCATAAAATCGAAAGAAAAAACATATAACGTGGTGAAGATTAGTGGGAAGCCAGAGGATTGGGAAGCCTTTAAAAACCAGCAGAAGATAAGTAAAAAAAGCAATAAGGAGGGAGAAGATGAAATACAAGAGTAAGATAGCTATTAATATAAAAGTGTATTCCCTAGAGCTTTTTTTAAGATATATAAAAGATATAAAAGAGAGACAAGAGTAGACATTGGACAGCTGGAAAATGAGGCTGGAGAAGTAGTAATGGAGAACAAAGAAATGGCAGAGGAACTGAAAAGTCATCACGGTGGAAGACACCAGCAGCATATCAGAACTTCAAGAGAGTCGGGGGCAGAGGCGAGTGTAGTGGCCATCACTAGGAAAAGGAGCTGGGGAAGCTGAAAAGTCTAAAGGTGGATAAAACACCTGACCAGATGGACGACATCCTAGGATTCTGAGGGAGATACTGGAAGCATTGGTGGTAATCTTTCAGGAATCACTTCAGTCGGGGAGGGTCCAAGAGGACTGGAAAATGGATAATGTAACACCCCTGCTTAAGGGAGGCAGAAGAAAGGCAATTATAGACCGGTCTGCCCGAATACAGTTGTTGATAAGATTTGAGAGTCCATTATTAAGGTTTAGATTGTGGCGTCCTTGGAAGTACATGGTAAAATAAGGACGAGTCAGCATGCCTGACAAATCTGTTAGAAACCTTTAGGTAACAAGCAAGTTAGACGAAGGAGAGCCAGTGGACATGATCTATTTGGATTTCTAGAAGGCCTTTGACAAGGTGCCTCACAGGAGACAGCAAAATATGATAAGAGCCCATAGTGTTAAGGGCATGGTAATGGCGTGGATAGAGGATTGACTGACCAGCAGAGAGTGGTGAGTATCTTTATCAGAATGGCAGCCAGTGCCTAGTGGCATTCCGCAAAGGTCAGTGTTGGGACCACACTACCTACGTTATACAATAATAATCTGGAAAAAGGAACTGAAGGCATTGCTGCTAAGTTTGCAGATGACAGAGAGATGTTGGAGGGAAAGGTAGTATGAGGGGCTGCAGGATTTAGACAGGCGAGGAGAGTGGACAAAGAAGTGGCAGATGGTATGCAATGTGGATAAGTGCGAGGTTATGCACTTTGGCAGAAAGAATAAAGGTGTAGACTATTTGTAAACGTGGAAAGGTTTCAGAAATCTGAAGCACAATGGGACTTGGGAATCCTAGTTTAGAATTCTCTTAAGGTTAATATGCAGGTTCAGATGGGGAGGTAAATTCAATGTTAGCATTCCTTTCAAAAATGTTGGAATATAAGAGCAAGGATGTACTGCTGAGACTAAGGCTCTGGTCAGACCATATTTGGCATGTTGTGAGCAGCTTTGAGCCCCATATCTAAGGAAGGATGTGCTGGCCTTAGAGGGGGTCCAGAGGAAATGCACAAAAATTATCCTAGCAAAGAAGGGCTTGTTATATGAGGAGCGGTTGAGGACTCTGGTTCTGTATTTGGCAGAGTTTAGAAGAATGAAGGGGGAATCTCATTGAAACTCCCAGCATACTGACATGCCTAGACAGAGTGGAAGCGGATATGTTGCTTCCACTAGTAGTAGAGACTAGGTCCAGTGGCCATAATCTCAGAGTGAAGAAACAGCACTTTAGAACTGCAATGAGAAGGAACTTCTTCCACCAGAGGGTGGTGAATCTGCAGAAGAGTGTGGAGACCAAGTCATTGGGTGTCTTTAAGACAGAAATCAATCCCCTTACTAAATAAGAACCCAAGGTTATGGGGCATAGGCAAGAAAATGGAGTTGAGAAACATATCAGCCACAAGTGAATGGTGGAGCAGACTCAATGGGGTGAATGCCTTAATTCTGCTCCTGTATCTTATGGTCTTAGAAGCAATTGTTTGTGTGAGTTTGCTGTGTATGAATTGGCTACAACTTTTCTGGAATTATAATGATGGCAACAGTTGCTGAAATACTTTACCGCGGTGTGCTTTAGGTTCGTAACAGTAAGCAAGTGCGAGTCTTGTGTATGTACATATCGTCTGTACAGTTACCCCAAGGGAGCACTGATATATCCATAAATTGTGTTAACACGTACATACAGCCACACGCATGAGCCGCGATGTAGATGTGGTTATATTGTACTTGCTGTAAGTTGTATCCATTTGTAACATAAGACGATTTAAAGAGCCGCAGCAACAAATACATATTTCCACTGTCTCTCAGGGAGCTCGTTGTGGGTTGCCTCTGCCTCCTATCCGTGCTGACTACCCCCTCCCTCCAATCACCCGGGCCCCGCACCTCCTCGCTGCACAGTTTGCTGTAGGCCTCCTGTAACTCGGCGACCTCAGTCAGACCCTCCAGGAACTCCATGGACAGACTCGAACAGCAGCTGCTCCGGCCGCCGCCGGTGCTGCTCGACGTGGAACCGGCCGCCATCTTCGCCGTCGCCCCGGCAACCACTTCCGGCAATCCACTTCCGGTGCTGCCCGATGCCCGCTTGAAGGCCCCCACAGTGAACAGAATGACCCAAGGGTAGATGGTGTCAATTGTATCTGACTAGTGGTCCTGGATACAATCTATGAAACAAAACCAAATTGGACCTACTGGCACCTCACAAATCAACAGCACTTTAGGAAAAACCAACACCACTCAATCAATCTAATTAGTTTTAAATACCACTAGGCCCATTGACTCTGCAAACCCCAGGTACACTTTTACGAGAAACAAGCTCATTAAACTTGACACAACCTAATTCATTTGAACCCGACCAGGATTAAATCAGTAATATCAACATTGCCAAGAGTGGTTGTAATTTACCCCACCAATAGCCCCTGTAAGAGGTCTTGTGGCTCAGAGGTAGCATCCCTACCTCTGAATAAAAACCGAGAGCAATGTGGACGCTGTAAATCAGAAACAAAAACAGAATTTGCTGGAAAAGCTGAGCAGGTCTGGCAGTATCTGTGAAGAGAAATCAGAGTTAACGTTTCAGGTCCGGACCCGACTCCACAGATGCTGCCAGACCTGCTCAGCTTTTCCAGCAAATTCTGTTCTCCCAATCTCCGAATCAGAAGCTCCAGGTTTGAGCACTACCCAGGATTTGGTGACCAAGTTCATATTTGCCAGTCAAGCAACAGCCAGTCATGGACTTATACCTTGACTGTGTCTCATTCCATCAGTAGACCCTCCAGGTGCAGACAACGATATACAGTCAGGAGTGAGTTGCAAATATTTAGCCCGGACACCATAATATCTCATGGCATCAGGTCAACGCAGACAAGGAAACCTCCTCCTGATGGCCACCATGGAGAAGATACAGAAAAGATTTACAAGGATGTTATTAGGACTGGAGGGTTTAGTTATAAGGAGAGGCTGGATAGGCTGAGACTTTCTCCATTGGAGCATGGAAGGTTGAGGGGTGACCTTATAGAGGTTTATGAATTCGTAAGGGACATGGATAAGGTGATTAGCAAAGGTCTTTTCCCTAGGGTATGGGAGTTCAAAATTAGAGGGGATAATTTTAAGGTGAGAGGAGAAACATTTCAAAGGGACCTGAGAGGCAACGTTTTCACACAGAAGGCAGTTCGTATGTGGAACTAAACTGCCAGAGGAAATGACAGCTGCAGTTACAATTACAACATTTCAAAGATATTTGGACAGGCACATGAACAGGAAAGGTTTAGAGGAATATGTGCCAAATGCAGGCAAATGGGACTACTTTGTTTTGGAAACTTAATCAGTATGAACGGGTTGGACCAAAGGGTCTGTGACAATGACTGTGCTGGAAGATCAACCCTGGTTCAGTGAAGATTGCAGGAGGTCGTGGCAGGAGTAGCACTGGACATTCCAAAAAATGGGGTGTCGTTCTGGTGAAACTACCGTATTGGACTGTGTGCCAGACAGCATAGATTGAGATTGGCTAACTAGTTGAACACAGAGAGTTGCGATAAGGGGGTCATTTTCAGAATGGCAACCTGTAACAAGTGATGTCCTGCAAGAGTCAGTGTTGTGATATATTACAATATATAGTAATGACTCGGAGGAGGAACGTGAATGTACTACAGCCAAGTTTGCAGATGACACAAAAATAGGTGGAAAGGCAAACAGTGATGATAACACAAAGGGTCTGCAGAGGAACGTAGACAGGTCAAGTGACTGGGCAAAAACGTCACCAATTTTCTTCCTGATGTGTTTGCAAGGCACTGACTACCAATGTTATATCATGGACTTTCACTGTACCCTCTTGGAGGAAACTCTGCAGTCCAATTTGAATTAATTTTGACAAGTGTCCAGCTCCTGGTGGACTGTTCACATTAGTTTTTTAAAATATTTTTCTAATATTTTCATTACAATGTTTGAAGAACATAAAAAAATTTAATTTTTTTGAAAAATGCCACAATGGTCTAACAGTGCCATTCCGAGGGAGATGGTGAGACATATTCCAGAGAGAAGATCTTATGATGCTGTACCTGACCTGGAGTGGTTCAAATGGAAATCCTCAGCATTAATGCATATGAGAAAGGTCTTTTTTCAATCTACATGATTACACGGTTTGCTGCTTAATTAATTGCATTTTTGGATTAATTCAATTTCCAGAAGCCTGCTAACATAATACAACTAACCTAACTCTAATTATAGCATTATAGCCCTTGTTCTGGACTCCAGACAAAATGTGGAGCTGGAGGAACACAGCAGGCCAGGCAGCATCAGAGGAGCAGGAAAGCTGACGTTTCGGGTCGGGACCCTTCTT